CGAGCCACAGCAGTGCCTATGGGGAATTGACAGGGAGAAGGATCTGATAGCAGAGAGGGTGTGGAATCCGGAGTGTGTCAACACTTCTTTATAATATGGCAACATGTGATGGAAAAAAAGAGGCTTTGGAATCAGAGACAACTCAAATCCCGTCTCCTCGCTTGCAGTTGCTTAACCCATTACCCTCACTGGCAAGATAGTGATGGTATCACATACTCCCTCTTGCCATTTCAAGGACTAATTAAAGTAGCTAGATATAACACCACCACCTGTTATAGAGCCTGGCACAAAATGGGACCTGAATAGATGTTGGATCTCTCTCCCTACTTTCCCCTTACTCTCCAATTCAACCCTTATAGGAACCAGGAAACAGGATGGACACATCAGATTAGAAGCAGTTATGTGCTAAGGTTTTGTGAGCCTGAGGCATGACAGCTGGGCTATTTAGGAACAGCATGGAGTTAAGGATGCTGACGGTGGAGGGCTTCGGCTTGTTGATCTTTCCAGCCTGAAATCATAATGAAATAATTAAATTAAACATTTTAATTACACCTTTATTTAAATGATGACTTCTTATTAAAGTTTATTTTTGAGTAGACACAAAAATAGAATGAAATCCATATAACCAACACCCAGTTTAAACAGTTACCATGATTTTGCCACTTGTATTTCCTATCTTCTTCCCATCTTTTTTTCAGCAAAGCCTTTTAAGACAAATATGAAACATCATACATTTCACCTCATAGCATGTTCTTTGATAAGGACTTTTTAAAGCGATAGCCATTCTCACATCTAACAAATTCAGCAATTCACTGACAGTATAGAATTCCCCACTCTGCTCAGTTTCCCTCAATTGTGTTAAAATTGTCTTTTTACTGTTGTTTGAATCACGGGAGTTGTATCTCACTTTATCTATGACAGTTTCCCTCATTCAAAAATGTGTTTGTTAAAGACACCAGGTTATTTTCTATAGGTTTTCCCTGCAATTTGGATTTGGCTGATTGCAGTATCATGGTGTCACTTCCTGTGTTCCCTGTCCCAAGTATTTCCTGTAAACTGAAAGTTTTATCTGGAAGGTTGGTCAGTCTCAGGTTCCATCTTTTTGGAAGGATTACTTCATAGGTGGTGCTGTGTGATTTTTTTTTTTTTTAGATCATATCAGCAGGCAATTTCTTTTTTCTCTTTTAATGATGCTAAGATTTATCAGTAAGTCCATGTCATCAGCTTGATCCACCCTTTATAAAACTCTCCATGACCTTTCACCAAATGGTTCAGCACATACTCTCATTAGGGATGGTAGAGCAGTGATTTTGTAATTGTATAATTCTCTTGTTCCTTCAGCAGTCATTAGAGTCTATCAAAGAACTTTTCCTTAGCAAGTTTTTGGTGAATATGAAAAACAAGTTTTTCAGGAAAAGTAGGATAAATGCTTGATTTCTTGAACATTAATTTTCAGACTAATCTATCAATTTTATCATCTGGTTTTTGAGGGAGGGGAAATATTAAGAAGTTATGGATTTTTATATATTTGAGTGTTTCAATCCATTGCAGTAATAATGTTTGGTTAGTAAAAACCCCTTTCAAGTTGGCCCTGAATAGTGCTTTATAATTTATAGGTCACTCAACATACATTTGCCATTTGAATCTCACAAATAACCCTGTGAAGTTTGGTTTTATTGACCAGTTTTACAAATGAGAACTCTAGACCGTAAGGCTCAAACCAGACCTTAATGTCTGTTGTTCTTTCCTTTACATACAATAATGGTGAAGAGAGTGTTAAAGGTGATGAATTATTTTCCTGTTTGTCTTTTCCCTGGCTTTGAGACTAAATGGCAGATGTCTTTTACCAGTGGGAATATGATATTAAGCAATAGCCACTTTAGAAGACATTATTTGTAGCAAACACTGTTGAGAGTAATGGTATTCTGATAATATTGTAACTTTGTTTGTGAAGCATTTCAATTTTGATTACTCTGTGTGGGAGCTACTGATCAGATGTGTGTCGTTTATGGTCTGCCCATGTCTGGGGAGCTGGCATTACATGCTGCCTAGTGTTTTTAATTCTGGAGTTCTTCTAAAAGAATCCTTGGCCTCTTATATTCCAACCCTAGTTTTAATAGCAGAAGCTATTTCTTTCTTATATAGCTTTGTGGGCATAGTAATAAAATAAATACCACAAAATCGCTGATGAGATGAAAATAGAGCTCCCTGCTTCTGTGCAGCCATGTAGGTAAAACAGTAATTGGCTCTGATAATAACTTTTGTTCTTACAAACCAAAGTCTAAATGAGAGTCACATTTGATATATCTGCTTGTAATTACTATCAAAAGGGGAGAATACAAAGTTTAGAATGGTTAGTGACTCAAGATGCATTAAATAAATTACTGTTTTTTTCTCAACCAATTTAAGAAAAATTTCTGAAATTATTTCTGATATTTATCTCACTGGTAGTAAAAAATGATCATCTTCCTAGGATGCTTTTCTGCTTAATGGAATGATTAATTTTTTTGTTTTTAAAATCTATAATTAACTTTTCTTGAAAAAGCCTTATTACTGGATCTGATAATGCAGGCGTGTGCTTATAAGTATTTTCTTAAACGTCCCTACAGATGGTTTGTAAGACAAATTTAGATTGGTAGTGACTTTCAGAAGGCATTTGATGTGCTGGGCATCAAAGATGCCCTCTCACATGCTTGGCAAGCACTCTACCACTGAGCTACACCACCAGCCCAATATTTTTAAAAAGAGAAATTAAATCATGTATGCTGAATATTAATCATGCATTCCAAAATATTTTTATTTTGGTATATACATGCTTTTGTACCAAAATTATAACTATTAAAATAGTAATAATTTTTAAAGACTGTTCCCATTGCTTAGTAAAAATCAATATTGCAAACTTCCATTTCTGTTGGATTTCTGTTTACACACTGATTTATTTTTAGAATAAACATGCTGGTGCCCCAGATGTGTAAAAATGGGCAGAAAACAGCTAGATTTTAATACTAGTTTTTACAGTGACTTCGTATTTGATCATTTCCTCCCTACACCAGTCCTATAACCACGCAAAGTTGATGGCACATAATAAAACTAAGAAAACTGCTTTGGTCCACTGAGCCAGTGATACCAGAATTAAAAAGTTCTAACAGAGCTTAGACATGATAGATGAAGCTATTACCATCAACTGTATCCAGAATACACATTTTAAAAACACTCTAATTACAGAAACTACATCCAGTCAATATAATACATATTAGTAATTTCCTGATCCTTGGTAGAGTGGAAATTATTCTGAAAGTTTAATTAAGAAGGGAAAAATTATGTTCAGGTATTAATTTTAATGAAAGAGGCACTAGGCTTCCCTGCTATAATGCTGTGAGTGTGGCTTAGCCCGGAAGGAACGCCATTTGCCTTGGTCACCACATGTCCCTAAAGGAGAACCTTCTAAGACCTTCCTTGATTGCAACCTGTGTCCCTGAATAGGTTAAAAAAAGAGGACAATGGAGGGCAATTATTTGGACATTTGGTTATTAAAACACTACTAAAAAAATACAAGGAAGGTTTGGAACAAGTGTTAGGAAATACCCATCTAGTCAGAACACACTCCCTACATACTTTTGCAGTCTTCTCTTCACTTTGACCTTGGGCTGTTTATAAATGCTTATAATCAAAGAAATAACTGGATTACAATGTCATCTGTCTGGTTCCGACAACCCTTTTAATAATTGCATCAGATCACCCTGAGAACAAAGATGTTTAATTGAACCGAAATCAGTTTTCTTTTCAAGTTGCTCACAGTACCTCCAACCTCCTTTAAAACAAAAAGTCACAAAGGCTACATATTGTGTGATTCCATTTATGTGAAACGTCCAGAACCGATATCAATAGAGACAGAAAGTGGCTTTGTGGTTGCCTGCTAGGGGAGGAGGCAATAGAGGAGGTGTGATTGTTAATGAATGTGAGGTCTCATTTTGGAGTGATGAAAATGTGAATTAGACAGGAGTGACACTTGCACAGCTTTGAGAATATACTAAAACCACTGAATTACGCACTTTAAAGGGGTGTATTTATGGTGCATGATTTATATTACAATGAAAACATTGCAAAAGATTTCAGAAATTGATACAAAAGATTTTCAGAATATTCAGAAATATTTCTAAGAGTCAAATTATCTTTTAGCCTCAAATCATAGAGTGGCAAGGGTGGGGGAGTAGCTCCTCAAGAGATGGAGTCTAACTGCTGCATTTTGCAAATAAAGAAACTGACTTCAGGTTAGTGGGCCTTCCCCACAGTCCCACTCAGCATTCTGGGAGAACTAGAACTTCACTCTCCTGACACCTTTCCAGTGCCCTCCATACCACCATTCCGCCTGGTTCTATGGTTTCTTTTTAGCATCTTGGAGTAAGTGTTATAAATTGTAAAATGAGGAATGGGCTGTTTTAGCAAGGATGCTTTTGGTGTTTCTAATGAAGGCACAAATTATTCTTGCTGGTGGCAAAATCTCTATGAAGGAGTAGATAAAATTCTTGTGGTAAATTTGTCAGGTCCAAACTGAGACCTACCTACACATGTCCCTAGAGGAAGGTGGCTACATTAGCAGACCAAGGGAGCCCTCTGCCTGTGTGTGTGGAGTATAGATTTCATTGACAAAACTCTTGACCTGGAAAGCTAAAATCAAATCAAGACCAGGTGACCTTGTTCTTTGTACACCTTGGCTGGCTTTTAGTGTGAGTTCTGAGAAAATGAGTGATGTCTGAGGATATATATGTGTGTGCAGTAGCATGCACAGAGGAAAATCTGCAGAAAGTTCCTTTTTGTGAATAAAAGGGACCAGTTAGTAGCCTAAATAAAAGATGCAAATATATTTTTTCCAGTGAGAATTTCATTAAAATAATTATTTCCAAAGAACTTGATATTCCTCAGAGAACATAAAATGTTAGTAAGCATTTCTGTTCATCCAGCATGAAAGTTTCATTGCTTCTTTGTTCCAGCAAAAGGTAGAGTTGAATGTAAAAGTCATGCAGGACCCTGAACACACCCACCACAGAGCTGCGGTAAATGCGAACTATGGAATTGCTTTGCCATATATTAATCAGAGAAAAGCACATGTAAGTAACGAGTTGTTTTAATGAGCTCTTAATTTTTTGAGAAGTAAAAGTCATTTATTAGCAGTGTAAGATATAATATAGATTTTAAGTAAGACTGTGTTCCTTTTGTCCTTGGAATTTTTTTGGAAATCAAATGGAATGGCTTTCATTCTGTCTATAATTGGTAATGATTAAGAAAATGTAAACCTATTTTAAAAGATCTATTTATAGCTAGATCAAATTTCTCTATTTTAGTTGATATTTCTAAATAATCTAGCACCATAATTTTTACAAGAAGGAAAATTATTTAACAGCAAAAATAATTAATAAGCTTCAAGTATTTTATATCTTGAGTAGTAAGCTTACCACTAGAAAACTCAAAATAAAACACCAGCATAGTCCTCCTTCAAATGGAGGAGACTCACATAATATGCAGATATTAAAAATATTATTCCAAATCTGAAGCAAGCAGAGAGAGACCAGTCTTTTATGTCAGCAAAATAACAAGAGAGAGAAAATAACCAAATGCGGACTCACATGAAGGATCCCAGGATCTGTGCCTGGTTTTGCCATTGACTTGCTGCTGGAGTGTCCCACAGCAAGGACTGAACGCTTTCTATGTCATGGGGTTTCTTAGCAGATTTAGAGTAATACTTCATTTTAACTGGGAAATTATTTGATATCATTTCTAATACTAACACAATTGCTAAGGTGAAATTCTAAAATACATTTTTAACCTTTGGCTTTTCTCCAAAGCTCTTAAATGTATACTTTGGTGAAATCAGACAAAAAACAAGATTAATTTCAGGATTACACTGCCAAGCCATTTCTAACTCAGCTAATAGTCTCAAATTAATCTTCCAAATGTCTTCCATAGACATTTTCAACTGCTACTTCATTCATGTAACTCAGAAATATATTTCCAGTCTCCTTATATGTGCTTTATGTTATTCTAGCAGGTTTGGTTAAGAGCGCTTTATCATAGATGTACTTTCATAGCCTAAGAGATGACCAGTAAGTTAGATATTTTTATTCCTGCTGAAACTTTATTTAAAATGTCAGTGTGAATAATGTGAAGGTGTTTTTATCTGCTTCCCATGAGCTCCAAAGCCCTTGAAATAAAAATATTATTTCTCTGGCTGTAGAGACAGAAGCAGATTTCTCTTTTGTTGCTGTTGGTGTTCTTCTTCTATCTAGAATTAATATTGGTTTAGCTGGTGGAGGGCTAAGGTTTGTAGCTCAGGGCAGCTGCTGCATCTCATACAAACTTTTGTGCTGAGTGTTGAAGTTTGTGAAGGCCTGTCTCAATATACAGCATTAAAAATGACCGATGATTCCAAGTTAAAGAAGGAATTCAAAATTATATCCAAAATTTGGGGCAGAATCTTATTATATGTAAACAGTTTCCAAATAGAATGAATACTGTGAATACTGTACCCGGGTACTTTGAACAAAGAGGATTTGAGAAAGCACTTTGCCTTGTATGGTATATAACATGTATTTGTTTGTTTTATTAAAGATCCCTTTAAATAAACAATTCATTCCATTAAAAAAGTCTTCATTTTGGATTTATGAAACAGAAACATTGTTTGAGAAGTTCTTTGAGGGAAGTATTTGGGTATTTGATTTTTAAATGATCATGCAGAGCATTTCGGGGTAAAACACAGTTGTGATTTACCACTTGTAAGAAATATTTTTAAAGCCTGCATCCAGACCAAAGTGGTGTGTCTAGCATGGCAATATATGGTTAATTAGAAAAAACAATGCTGAGCACTCCACGCTGGAACCCAAAGGGGATTATTATCTGGCTGCTGAGGGCCTTGTGTTTCTACTTCTTAAGGAAACTTGAACAGCTTGTCAAAAAGCCTGTAAATAATCTTAGGCGTTTTGACAAAGCAAATTTGAATATATAGCCAGTTTACATTATTAGTCCCAGAAGCCGGTGGTATTTCTTCTCTGATGAGGAGGCGTCTCCTTCCTGAAGATCAGGAGCCGGTGGGAGATTTGAGTGCCTTGGAAATGTTACACGACGCCTTTAGAACATCATAATCTGTGACTCTGTTGTGTAAAATCAATTTAGAGACTCATTAATGATTTTTAAATGTCTCAAGTTTGGCAAATAAAAACCAAATGACCATCTAACATGTTTTTGAGGAGTCCTCATTGGTATGAAACAAAAAATCCCAGGCGCTGCTCACACTCACTGGCATCCAGTTCCAGTTTTTGACCGTACAACACAACACACTAAAAGATCTACAGAAAATTTGACTTTGATTTATTTTTTCTGAATAAACAGGGTTTCTTAAAAGGCTAGAAACATGTAACCGTTAACATGAATTTTAAAAGAACGATTATAAATGCATAACAAAATAGCCAAACAAAACATTGCTTGAATTGCTACACAAATAACTCTGATTATAACTGTTATGACCTAGAAAGGAGTCATAAAAACATTTATCTTTTTGGCAAGATATGAGTTGCTGTAGAATTATTCCCGCTCTTGGGTCCCACTTTCCAAATAAATAAATATATAATGCAACGTAAACTTAGAATCTTTTATTTATTCATGAGACGGAATTTAATACTATTACGATTTCTAGATTTTATGAGTCGTATGTTATGCAGTTTTTCACTGACTTAGTTGGGTAGCAACCACACTTCACAAATCATAGTTTCATTCTTTACTGTTTCTCTCGGGGGTGTCCATAGTAATCTCTCTCGCAGAAAGCACAATCATTTCTTAGATGACAAAGTAATGGAAAGTGAGGCAATTGTGTTAATGTCAAATGATTAGAAGTACCAGGAGTAAGGGGTGTGGGGGAGGGGGCTTTCAAAACATGATTGTGTTTTAAGCCCATGCATATGGCCACAATTACAGTCACAATGGAATTTGGCAACGGTAGCAGAATTAGATTTAAACAAATTGATGTTACACTGCAGTAATTCAGAATGAGCTTGTTGCATTTATAAACCATAACAAGAAGCAGAATGAATTAATAAACCCTCCTTGTCACTAAAAATAAAAAAGGGAGTAATTGCTGAGACGGAGTTACTATAGTCAGCATCCTTCAGCCTAGATATGGGAAAGTGAAGGTCACCCCATCTCAGATGACAAAGAGGGAACATTTTGTTGGTAAACAAATTAATCTTTTGAAAGGTCGCCATTTGTTTTAAGTTTGTATCCAGTCCTTGTCATCTGGAACCAGAGATTGACTGTCATTTCACTAGGCAGGGTGCAGTGGAAGCAGACGAAGCTGCTTCTGTACATATCAGCATTCCTTGACAAAACTCCGTGCCTGATTGTGATGCTATGGGCTGCTGGTTTACAGCTGTCTCCGGCCAGGAGCCGAGGCCTACCCCTGAATTCCAATAAGACGGGCCTGCATATTCTGCCTGCTGTAAGCTGGCCCTCTGCCCACAAGTAAAACGTATTGCAGCTCAAGCCAGCAATTATCTCCCTTGCTTCCTTCTGTGCTGCTTCTGTTCCCCTTTTCCAAAAACAGATGTGGTATTCACGCAAGTTCTGCATCTATTCTTCCTCACACCTGCCAGGGCAGGGTTTTGACAGAGGTAGAATTTGAAGGAGCCAGTAGACAACAATCATATGTAATTTCTTTGAGAGCTGTTTAAAAAAAAATGTTGACTTTTCAGGAAATGTGGAGTCAGCATCTTGTTCCCCACTCCCCTTTTCCCAGGAGCATTTGGTAAATTAAATTAGTGGAACAAAAGGAAATAGCTTTAAAGCCATTCTGAAACGCCATATCCTATTTATGACACACAGTCATCACCCAAGGCCTGCAATGGCGTGTGCAGAAGTCACCCTTCTGTCAGGTCCCGCAGCCCTCTCTTCAGCTGGCTGAGAGTCTGAAAGCACAGGACTCTTCAGTCCCTTCCTGACTCGCTGCTTCTGAAGGGTCTCCGTGGTATCCCACTAATATGGCAGCATGGTACAGATGGGTTGGGGCGGGTGCCTTTTATGTTGGTCCTGTTCTTGGAGTGAGGGGAGTGATGTAACATGATGTTGGCTGACTGCTTTCACCAAATAATGTCCACAAAAGGTCTAGCTACAGTGAGTTCTCTAACTTCCTTTGAACACCATAGTTCTTGAGCTTTTGTGCTAAGATTCTGTTTGCGTTCCCAAACCAAACCTATGCCGAACTCAGCACCTTTACTTAGTGTGGTGACTGTGAGTCACACTGCATATGTGAGCCCTCACTAGATGGGGGCTTCCTAGGGTCAGCCTCCCTTTCCCCATGTGCAAAATGTCCACAGTCAGAGGATCTAGCTCTTGCCATGGTATTGAGATTCAAGTGAGTTGATTCAAAATGCTTAGCAAGATCCTCATACAAAGAAGTGCTCTGAAAATTTTAGTCTTTACCATGGGCAACCCTCACATGTTATATTGTGCCATTGCTTTTTGCTGTCATTATATGTGTATATGTGGGACAGTGCTGGGGTTTGAACTCAGAGCCTTGTGCTTGATTCCACTTAAGCCATGCCCCCAACCTTTTTTTTTGCTTAAGTGTTTTTCAGGTAGGGTCTCACATTTTTGCATGTGGTGGCTACAGACAGAGATTCTCCTACCTGTGCTTCCTGCATAGCTAGGATTATAGGCATGAACCACCACACCTGGCTTATTTATTGAGATGGAGAGTTCAGTAATTTTTGGCAGGCTTGTCTCAAACCATAATCCTCCTTATCACTTCTTTAGTATCTGAGATTACAGGGATGAGCCACTGAGCTGGACCTAAAACTTACATTTTTGTAGGGACTGGGGGAGGGAACCAGAGAATTACTAAGATCCCTTCCAGGGATACTATTTAATATGATTATGTGTTCTTTCCCACACAGACATGAGGACAGGACTTTCTTATGTGTTTTTCAAATCCTCCATTATGACAAGCAGTGCTTTACATACTGTGTTCGGAGGAGAGAACTCATTCTTCCTCCTCTGCCGGTCTTTGAAGCAGAGTAGTCTGATGGCCACGAGAGGCCTCCTCCCAGCAGGCGCTCTGGTCAGG